TATACAAAAAAGTACTTCAGTAATTATCATTTACTATTACTGTGAATTTTCTAAAAGTGGTTCTCAGGAAAGCTTGTTTGTTACGTTAATACCCGGGGATCTCAGTAAGAGACAATGAATATAGAAACTTTCAGGGACTGGTGGTAAGACCTTAGATAAGATTGTTCCTAAAATGGATGCTACTGTCTCCCACCCTAAGGGAGAGGGGACCTGTCCAATGGGAGGTGGAATCAGCTTTCAGTGAGATTGGGATGGTAGCAGCCTTTGGTAGGCTGAGAGTGTGTGTTCTTTCTGTTTGTTTCCTTAAAGTAAAAGAAAGCAGATTTCTAGAAGGGATTTTTTTGTTTCTGAAAAGGTGGCAATAGGCCAAAATATTTGAGAACCCCTAATTTAGATATGTAACTTAACTGCACATTGTATTGAAATCTCTCCTTGCCGTCCCACCTCAAGATAATTTTAACTAGAAATTCAAAAGAAATGACTTGGAATAAAATAGTCAGGTATAGACATTGCATTTTTATTTCCCTAAATCTCACTTCAACGTCAAGTGGTCGATTCTTACTTAGGGCATAAATCTGTGCGTGAGTTTTACGGCGATATGGTAGCCCACATTATTTTTAGAATTTCATCTTTGAATGCTTAATTTTCAGAAAATTGCATCTACTTTTGGCTTTTCAAAGAGAAATATATATATATATATATATATATATATATATATATACACATACATAGTACGAGCCAGACTCATATGTATTGAAATTCTAAGTTCTACTACTGTTAAAATATATTTTGTTTCATCAAATTCAATGCTAATGTTTCTTTCCTCCCCTTAACCTGTTCACTTCTAGTCTGTTTTCCAGTTGACACCTCTGAGATCATTCCAGGTTTCCTGCTTTGGAGCTTTTCTGCTTCTACCAGACAACTTTTATCCCAGACGTTCAAGTGAAAATCCAAAGGGAGTTTTAATACAGCTTTGATGGTGAGGTCTATTCACATTTGCTGTTTAGACTTTTTTTTCAAAGCTAAAACTTTTCTGTGCCATGATAAATTTTTTAACTTTTGGCTAATTTCTGCAGTGATTGAATATTTCTTGAGGGAAAGAGTCCAATGGTTTGCTGAGAAATTAGCTCTTATGAGGCAAGAAGAAAGAGGGTCTTTGTACCTTAGTTGAGGGAGAGATGTCCAGGATCAGAGCTGTTTATACTAGGCAGGGAGGGGCCTGATAGCAGCACAGCTGGAAACAAAGCTGTGGCCAGACACCACATCCTGAAGAGGGTGAAAGCTTTGCAAGTCCTGAGCAAGGCCAAACTTGGAGTAAAGGGTCTGCGCTTCACTCCTAAGGCCGGGTGTGCAATGAAACAATGATACTTTGAAAGTGATATTTTGGGGGGGGGGGTCACACCCAGTGATGCACAGGGGTTACTCCTGGCTCGTGCACTCAGGAATTATTCCTGTAGTGGTGCTCGGGGGAACATATGGGGTGCTGGGAATCGAACTCAGGTCAGCCACGTGCAAGGCAAATGCCCTACACGGGTCAGCCACGTGCAAGGTGTGCTCTCCGGCTCCAGCCCCCGCTGAAAGTGATATTCTAATATGGATGAAGGTATGTCTTCTCTTCCAGCCTCCCAATAACCCTGAGCTCCGGATTGGTTAGAAGGAGCCTCTCAAAGATCAATGGTAGCCAGTTCAGATATTATCTTGGAGAATCTCACTGGTTGGTGCCCAAAGGTTCAGGGCTGTCCTGGGTCCTCGGGTTCTGGGTCTAAAGGAAGTGGATAGGGAACACTAATCTAACCTCAAGATTCCGTGGTCTCTCATGCACTCCTTCTGTCCACCGCTCTCTGCGGCTGTCAAAATAAATGACCACAGACCTGTGGTTTGAACTATTCTTACAGAATTATTTCAAACGAATTCTGGGGCCAGAGTTAAAAATAACGCTTAATAGACATTTTAAAAAGTTCTTAAATTTCCTCCAAAAGCAGGAAATTTAGCACATGGTAGGATTTATATTCTGGGGGAACGAACATTTCAAAGAATGAATCAGAAGAATTCTTAGATCAGTATTTGGCAGATGATAAAGGAAGAAATTAGAATTGTTAGGCAAGAGTCTTTGAGCATACATACCAGAAAAACTTTGAAAAGAAGATGGAGGGAAAAGTGAATGAGAACCACAAAAATCTTTGTTGACACGAATGAGAAATGTCCGGAGGGTCATTTTTACTGAGAACTCCCAATTCTTGAAATTACTGCTTGACAAGTAACTGATATTTCTGCTGCTTACCCTTTTCTGCCAATGGCTACCTTAGAAAGCCATAAATAAAATGCCCTCATATTTCAATTAGGAAACTAAAAAATCAAGTCATAAAAGAATTTATACTGATACTGCTGGGATAAAAATTAGCTAAATATAGGCCACATTTTTCAGATAGGAAAAAAAAAACTGGCTTGATTTCTTCCATCGTCAAGTCTACCTCCAATTCCATTCTTCTCTAAATGACTTCAAACTTTTATTGTTCTATGTAATTCCTTACTGGAACATGAAAAAAATGTTGAACTAAAATTATAGTGATTCTAGAAGCCAAATTACTCTGCAATCAATAACCATGTAACCCTGGATAAGTCACTGTTCTTAATGAAATGCTGTCAAGTACTGCATTTCTGTCAAGTACTTATATAAGCCTTGTATAACTGAAAACCAAGCACAAAATTTGTAAGTCTACAATTGTACCTCATGGTGTCTCACTAATAAAAAAATAAAATGCTTTCTGAAAAAAAAAATAAAACAAAACAACAACACAAAAAGAGTGCTCAGGTTCTTGTCCTCAAGATTGACAGCCAAGATTGAAAGTCAAGACTGAAAGCAGAGGTCCAAGGAAAGATGGCCCAATTCAGTAAAAACTTTATTTGAAGAGAGGAAGGGTAGGTAAAAAAGGAGTCTTCTAAAGCAGCATGGGGTCTTCTAAAGCAGGATGCTTAGAAAAGGTGCAAAAGCTCTTGCTCTTGTTTTCCCTCTGGGGCCATTCTCTTTAGAATCTCACCCTATTCATATCCTTCCTGCCTCTATGACAAAACACCCGAGTATGCGAGTATGCGACAGCAGAATAAACAGAACAAAGATCCAGGTCCCCAGGTACTTCTCATTTTGGTTTTTGACCAAAATACTAGCAAACACCAGGAAGAATTTATGAAAACAACATGAAGTAAGTCTGGGGTGTTATGAGGAAGAGCAGAGCATTCCTATAAATTTTAGATGCAGATTTCCTGATAACCAAAATGCTCAGGCTTAACACAATTGAGTTTCAGTTCTCGTTTTTTTTCCAGACTCTCACAGGTTTAAGTACCCAAGTAAGGGGCATGGTTCGTGATGTGGGTCTGGTTCCTCAGCTGTGCACATGGAGCTGTCATCTCATTACCAGTTCACAGACTGATTAAACAATCATATATATATATGTATATCTATATATCTGTTTTCACAATATCTTATATCGTAATTGAATGGCTTATGGCCTATTTGAATCCGAGGCAGAGCTGGTTTTCTCATGGAGAACTTCCTAGGATTCCCCCAATTCATTTGCAAGGAACCCAACAAAGTCCTAATTTGAATCTGAATAGAAGCATCCTAAAGGCAATTCCTAGAATTAATTTACAATGGCTTAGTTCATTTTTAGTCAAATGGGACCCAGACCTCTGCTTTTCACGCTGGTGCCTTTAAGTATGCTCATTCTGCAGCTCTGGCCTCACTTCTTTATCCATGAACTAAGGGATTTCTACCCAGAGAGGATCCCGAAGTTTTTCAGTTTTCTGAAAAGCCACTACAGGTAAAAACCCTTTAAATTCTTCCCTCTTTCTTCTTCTTCTTCTTTTGCTTTTGGGTCATACCCGGTGTTGCACAGGAGTTACTCCTGGCTCTGCACTCAGGACTTATTCCTGGCAGTGCTCAGGGGACCACTTGGGCTGTTGGGACTCAAATCCGGGTTGGCTGTGTGCAAGGTAAATGCCCTACCCACTGTGCTATCGCTTTAGCCCCCTCCCTCTTTATTCTTGAGAAAGATGAATTGCATATTACCATGATGCCCCAAAGTAGAGAGAGAGTAAGAAGGAAGGTGCCTGCCACTGAGGCAGGGGTAGGATGAGGTGGGGGTGGTGGGAGGGATACTGGGGATATTGGTGGTGGAAAATGTACATTAATGGAGGGATGGTGTCAATCATTGTATGACTGAAACTCAATCATGAAAGCTTTGTAACCATCTCACAGTGATTCAGTAAGAAAAAAGATGAATTGCATATTGACATGATTTTACAAACACATTTTTATTAATTGTCTATTAGGTTCTACGGTATGGGTCCCTTGACCACTGTATTATAGAAAATGAACTAAGCAAAGGTGTTTAAACTCTTCAACTTTACTTTAGGCAAGTATGCTAATCAAGCTGAGGAACATAACTAGTTTGAGATCTTAAGGAAGTACTATGGATAAATTGTCTACTGACTTCCTCCTACAAAAATAGAGAAATGAGGTTTTTTGGGTTTTTTTTGTTTTTTTGTTTTGAGGAGGTAGTTGCTACATTTACTGTAACAATTGAAATTCTTCATTACTCTGTTTAATTTCCTTTTCCCACTTTAGTTGTTCTCATGTAAGAATCTATATGCACTGCCTAAAACTGAAGAATACTGGAAGAGTGGTGATATAGTCTGAAGTTGAGCCCTGGACAAAGGAACCTTGCTTTGTCATCCAGGTAAGACTCATCATTGTTAGCTTGAAAGTCAATGCCATCCAACGTCCAACAGCACCCAATTTTTTTACATTTTGTGATAGGGGTATTAGAATAAGTAGCATAATAATGATGTGAGTTAGTAAGTAAAATTATAATAATTTTTGTGGGACTTTTTTTGGGTGTTAAATGATCAGAAACACATGAGCTTGATGAGGATCTACTACTGAGAATACTAACCTGGGGACGCTTTTCTGGAGAGCAATATTAAAAATGTAACAATTTTCTATGATTTCTTTCTTTTTGAAAATATTTGCACGCCACTTTTGCTCAGGGAACATACTAATCTTCTCTGTTTCGTTCCAATTTTTAAGTCTGTGCTCTCAAAACAAGCATTTTCTATGGTTTCCTAAGCTTTGCCCTATTTTCCAAAGTTTGGAAATTACCAGGCAGTTTTAGTCAGTTCCCTTTAAAAGGGTACCTAAAGAGTAGGTATGAGTTTGCCATTGGGGAGCCTGTCAGGTGAGATGGTTAAGTTTGTGTACATTTGTCGGTGTGACAAAGAAAAAGCAGGGTGATGGTAATGTATGATATAAGATACTGGATTCTGTGAGGTGGTCTAGTTAAAGAGAGAAGAAAAGAAAGGAATCCCAGTTAAGAGTACAGAAACCTTTTTTTTACAGGTTTCAGTTCATAGTGCATTCTGTACATAGGTAGTTTTCAAACCAAGGCAGGGGCAAGAAATTTTCTTATGCCATAATTCTAAAAGGAAGCTCCGTCTCTTATGTGAAATCATGGTCTCAATTGCATTTTGCAATGGGTTACATTCGATTAGGTCTTAGATATTTATAGCGGGAGATACAGACACTACAGAGTTTCTAAATGGCTGCATTGCCCTGGCTTCAGGTACCCACTCACTGGGAAGCACAGTGTTAGCCAGTGCTCAGGTTCTTGTCCTCGGACCATCAAGATTCAAAGCCCTGATGGGAAACTGAGAAGTCTGAATTCAAGAGAAACTTGACTCAAAGAAAGGAAGGGAAGGGCCTCAAGGATGGGGTCCTGGGGTTTCCTTTACGTATTAACTGGGCAAATACCACGCTTGAGGGTCATTTCATTCACAGAAATGGCAGCCTCGGCACCCCTAGGTTAGCAGGATGACAGGGAAAGGCAAAAAGCCCTTTTTTAAAAAAATGGGGGATGGGTGAGAATTCCCCAAAGTGCTTACGATGAGCTAGAGGGGTTGAGGGAGAACAGGATGTTTGAGAGGATTATCCTGGGTGCTTATGCTTGGGAGTTCTTCTCCGGGGCCATTCTCTTCCTAATTTCACCCTATCTCAACCTGCATGCTGTAACAATAGGAATCCCTTTCCCAGTTTAAAAAAAAAAATCTGCTAAGAGAAGAACCCAACAAAGACTATAGCAAATGTTAATGAAGGGTCTCTGTGTTTGAATTTAGAGACTGCCCAGTTTAAGCTTTCAAATCTGGAGGTGGGATCTGGTAGGTTGTTTGGTTTACAATTACAGTTCAATGTGCTGTAATTACAGTAACAGTGTATTGGTGGGGAGTGGGGGAGAGAGCACAAAATGTTATGGACTCTAAGATACAAAGACTCATTCCATGATTCTGAAGAAATGTAGAGAGTGAAATAGTTCTGAAGGGTGTGAGCATGTAAGAATCTCTGAAGGAGAATGATATCATTCTGCAACTCCTTACTCCAGACTGTAGTAGAGAAGGCGGTGCTTTGAAAGCTATGATTTTCACAATCACAGAGAAACAGGGTGCTTTTTGAATACAGCACATGATTATTAATTGACCCAGAATCTAGTGACTTTTCTTTGTTATTCTCATGTGAAAGAGAAAAGGAATGAAAGGGAGATTTATGACTTAGCGATGCTTCAGTTGAAGCAAGAGGGACTTAAAACTAAAACATTAAGAAAAAAAGCAAAACACCTGTGTCTGTGCTTCAACGAAAATGCTTTCTAAAGAAAATCTGAAGAAACAATTTACACATAAAGACACATGAGGGCGCTCTAACCAATGAGCAAAGCACATACAGTTTTGACCGAATTTTATTTTATTTTATTGCTTTTTGGGTCACACCTGGCGATGCACAGGGGTTACTCCTGGCTCTGCACTCAGGAGTTACTCCTGGCGGTGCTCAGGGGACCATATGGGATGCTGGGAATGCATATGGGATGCAAGGCAAACGCCCTACCTGCTGTGCTATCTCTCCAGCCCCTGACCGAATATTAAACGTACTTGAACTATACTTTAGCATTAAATATTTAAAATGAGAAATTACAGATGTCCTTAGAAAAGAGCAGAGAATTTGGGATTTATTCTTGGTCACATTTCTTTCTATCCAATTTAGGATCTTTTTAAAAATTAATTAAAAAAATTTTTTTAATTCATCACTGTGGGGTACAGTTACAGACTTACAAATTTTTGTTTGTTTCAGTCATACAATGATCGAGTACCCACCCATTTAGGATCTTGCTTGAGAAATTGTTTCTGTGGAAGTGAGTTTACTTCTGAGATAGGAACAAACTCCTAGTAGGATTGGGTCATAGATAACTTCTTTAGTTATGAAAAGGCAGCATTTTCATTAAGAGAATTTATGTATCACTAAGGACCTAGTAACAATCAGTTTTTATTAGTGTTGCCACAAAATGCTTCTGGACACATTTCGTTTGCCAGTTGATATTGCTAGTGACATGTCTTAATTTTTTTTTCTTTTTGGGTCATTCCCAGCGATGCTCAGGAGTTACTCCTGGCTCTGCACTCAGGAATTACTCCAGGCAGCACTTGGGACCATATAGGATGCCGGGGTTCGAACCCGGGTCGGCCGTGTGCAAGGCAAACGCCCTACCTGCTGTGTTATTACTCCGGCCTGTGTTTTCATGTCTTAAAACTAATTAAGTTGGGGCTGGAGCAATAGTACAGCAGGTAGGACATTTGCTTGCACGCATCCAACCCAGGTTCGATTCCCAGCATCCCATAAGGTCCCCTGAGCACTGCCAGGAGTAATTCCTGAGTGCTGAGCCAGGAGTAACCCCTGTGCATCACCAGGTGTGACCCAACAAAGCAAAATAAAGAAAAACCAACAACAAAAAAAATTTTAATTATTTTTCCACCCAGAAATTAAGTTAATTAAGATTGCTTTATAATGTAGAATAGCTATAATTTTCCTTAATATAGAATGATAAATCTTACCTATTTGTATTATTTGGTTTTTTCAGACAAAAGAAATCTCCATCATATCAACTTTTTGCTTTTATTTAAACTGGATAAGTGAGGACTGGAAAAGGTGAGAAGGTACTGATGCCTTCCCTTTTCATCTAATACTTAAATAATCTGTGTAAATACCACCTATGATTTTAATATTAATTACATGCAATTCTTTTCTAGCTCCTGGGCCAAAATTCAAGGAAGCCTGATATAAATGCAGAACAGCTCACTATGTACTATTCAACCAACCAGTATCTCTGCTGTGGCATTACCAATCATTTATATCTTCCTTTGTGTCATTGGTCTCCTTGGAAATTCTTTCTCTCAATGGGTATTTTTAACAAAAATAGGTAAGAGAACATCAACGCACATCTACCTGACACATCTGGTGACTGCAAACTTGCTTGTGTGCAGTGCTATGCCTTTTAAGTGTATCTACTTCTTGAAAGGTGATCAATGGGAATATAAATCTGTACAATGCAGGGTAGTAAATTTTCTGGGAACTTTGTCTATGCATATAAGTATGTTTGTCAGCCTCTTTATTTTATGCTGGATTGCCATAACCCGCTATGCGACCTTAATGAAAAAGGAGGCCATACAAGGGGCCACTTCATGCTATGGGAAAATATTTTATGGTCATTTACTGAAAAAACTTCGAGAGCCCAACTTTGCTAGAAAAGTCTGCATTTACATATGGGGCATTGTACTAGGTCTAATTTTTCCAGTTATCATATACTACACTGCTGTAGAAGCTACTGAGAAAGAAGAATTCTGGTGCTACAGTTGGAAGATGGAACTAGGACCAAGCATCTCTCAAATTGCAGGCCTCTTTGGAACCACATTCATTGGAATCTCATTTTTAGTTGTACTGACATCGTACTACTCTTTTGTTAATCATCTGAGCAAAATCAGAAGCTGCACCTCCATTGTAGAGAAAGATTTGACTTACCGTTCTGTGAGAAGGCATCTTTTGGTCATTCAGATTCTATTAATAGTTTGTTTTTTTCCCTATAGTATTTTTAAGCCTGTTTTTTATGCTATGCACAAAGCAGTTAACTGTAAACTTCTGAATTATTTAATAGAAATGAAAAACATCCTCACCTGTCTTGCATCAGCCAGGAGTAGTACAGACCCCATTATATTTCTTTTCTTAGACAAAACATTCAAGAAGACACTATATAATCTCTTTAGAAAATCTGATTCACAAGACTGGAGAGATAGCAGAGGAGGTAAACCGCTTGCCTTGCAAATGGCTGAACCGGGTTCAGTCCCCAGCACCACAAATAGTTGCCCTGAGTCCCACCAGGAATAGTCCTGGAACATCTCTGGGTGTGGCCCAGGCCACTTCCACACAAAAGAGAAAAAATCTGATTCACTATATAGACTAACACTCTGGCTGAATTCTGGATGGAAAATACAAACCATTCGAAAAGTACTCTTATACTACATGATTAACAGATCATGGTTTGGTTGATAAGAGGCACCAAGAAAAGCTATTTGGTTTTAAAACAAATATAGAAGATGTATTCAAATGGGAGAACTGAAACATACAATTGAGTCCGAGGGGGATTTGAGAGGGTGGGATACTGGAGTCTTAGGGAGAGAGGAAGTTATGTCCACTGGTGATGGTGATGGGTGTGGTGATGGAATCATGTGAAACCACTATAATAGTATTGAGAAACCACAGAATCTCATTCAGCAAAAAATATTTAGATATATATATATATATATAATTTTTTTAACTCACTTTACAGACACAGTAACAACAAAGTCTCCAATGGAGATGTTACTGGGCCCGCTCGAGCAAATCGACGATCAACGGGAGGGCCTTTACCTTTACCTTACAGTTATACTGAAAAGTCGAGATGGCAGAGATTTCAGAGACATAAATCAAGGGTATTGAAAGAATTATATAAATTTGTATTATATTGAATGCATATGAAAATAACTGACCATTTTCTGTTTAAACTCAACTGGATGCTTCTCTTCAGAACAGTACTTAGCAGCTGTGGGACTGAGAAACAAATGGTTTCTGACTTCTGCTTTAAGTCCTACCAAAATGTAAGACTAGTACAGTGAAAAAATTTCAAAGTTTTATAAACATGTGGTATTTGACTCATGTTACTGGAAGACAATATTCACTAATTTGAATACATATTAAGCAGAT